TTAAGCATGTGTTCAGAAAGTGTGTACTTAACTGGCCTTTTTTCAATTTCACACCACTTGGGGATTAAAAATTGTGCTTTGAGAAAGTATAGTATAGTGCTGGATAAGATTTTAATTTCTTGAGGACTACCACTATACTTTCTCCTTTTGTGATCCCAATATTGAGTTTAGTGCTGAACAGATAGGTCTTCATATTGATTATAGGTAACCCTGGTGGCATAGTGGTTAAGAGTTCGACTGCTAACCAAAAGGTTGGCAATTGGAATCCACCAGATGCTCCTTGGAAACCCTATGGTGCAGTTCTACACTGTCCTATAAGGTCAGTGTGAGTCATAATCAACTTTACAGCGATGGGTTTGCTTTGGTTTTTTTATATTGATAATAGCTTTCACAGGGAAAAATCAAAGTCAACCAAGGTACTTGGGGTACAGAGTACAAAGATCAGTGTATACAGTCTTTGGTTTGTGATGCTAATTTTTGTTTTAAATGATATTTTAATGATCTCTTAACTAGACAAAAGGATTGGGCTTGCCAATATGAAGCTAAAATGAACTTATGAGATAGTCAAGGATATTTAAACTGACGTCAGTGACCCTGGGATAGGCTGTTTAGTATCACTTTCAAAAAGCTAGTTTCAAAAAATTAGGATTTAATTTAGTTAGGAAACCCATATATAAAGATGCCCTCAAATTCTATTGAAAACTAAATAGTCCAAAGATTGACTATGTTTTGACTGTGTTCCCGTTAAGCCAGGTAAATAAAAAGCAGTTATCCCTTATTTAGAACACGGGGTGGGAAGAGGAGGGAATGTGTTCATTCACGGATCCTAGAATTAGTGATTTTGGGGAAAAGAGGCAGTGACTGGCAGACAGGGGTTTGTTTATCTAGCAGGACGGGTGGCAAGAAGGAGCTGAGACAGGGAGAATCATAAAGGCATAGCTGGATGTGATGTTTGGAGAGCTGTATTCTTGGTTAGAAAAAACTGAAATGGGAATCCAGGCAAATTGAATTATATGTGTCTGTAGTATATCATACATGTAAACCATATGGCACTTTGAAAGCACTCTCTTATAAATTATATCAAAAACCAAACCTGTTGCCAT